TTTGGGAAGCCTCTCTTCCCAGAGGCTGGGGTTGCAGAATGAGAGAAGGGGGCACTGTTGGTCTTCTGCCTTTGCTCTTTCCAGGAATACTTGCATTTTGCCACTTCAAAAAAAAAAAGGAAGGAAGGAGTTCCTTTGCATAAATTAGGGGTGGATGTGAACATTTGTTTACTGCTTACATCTCAGCCCAGTTTTCTTGGGGTTGAATGTGGGTGAATGTTCAGAATGTTAAGGGTCTTTGCTCTATATTGTCACTGGCAATGGAACACATCAGTTTGAAAGAAGGAAGTGACATCACAGGAAGGGGTAGGGCTTGGGGGAGTGACTTGCAATGATGTCATGATGTGTCATCCCTTGACTTTTGACTTGGAAGTGACACCCAGGATACGATGTCACAGTGTTACATCATATCCTTGCTGGGCACTACCTGAAAAATCTCCAGGTATTTCCTGAGCCAGACTTGGCACTGGCAGCCCTATGCCTGAGATTCTTTGCATGGTCAGTTGGCTCCTCTCCAGTCCCCTTCCTTTGTTGATTTAGAGGGATGGTAGTTGTGTAGCTGGAGCTGCGGGTGGCTCAAATGGTTAAGACGCTGAACTGCAGGTTGTGGAAGGTCAGTAGTTCAGCAGTTCGAGACCCAAGTTGCCACATGGTCTGGGTCCAGCCTACCTGAGGGACTGCCTTTCCCAGTATGTTCCCCCAAGAGTGCTACGGTCTGGGGCCCAAAACCTTCTAACTGTGCCGGGCCCCAAGGATGCTAAATTGGCCGTCACCAGGGCTAGGGCTTTTTCGGTGGTGGCCCCCACCTGGTGGAACGAGCTCCCGGAGGAGATCCGGGCCCTGCGGGACCTGATGCAGTTCCGCAGGGCCTGCAAGACGGAGCTCTTCCACCAGGCTTTCGACTAGGGGCCGCCGCCGCCCCCCCTGTTATATTACCATCTCTTTTTTAAATGTACTAAATTATTTGATGTTTTTATTAGCAAGTTCTCTTGCCATGTAAGCCGCCCTGAGCCCTATGGGGGAGGGCGGGGTATAAATTTAATAATAAATAAATAAATAAATAAACATGACGGAGTGAGCTCCCATCTCTAGTTCCAGCTCCTACCAACCTAGCAGTTTGAAAGCAAGAAATTGCAAGTGGATAAATAGGTACCACTTCGGTGGGAAGGTAACAGCGTTCTGCGCACCTTGGTGTTTAGTCATGCCGGCCACATGACCACAGAAACGTCTTCGGACAGCACTGGCTCTTCGGCTTTTGAAACGGAGATGAGCACCGCAACCCTAGAGTCGGACTCGACTGGCTTTCGAGCAAGGGAACCTTTACCATTTTTTTAGTTGTGTAGCTCCTTAACTGGGATATAAGTAACGTTCTGCTCCTTTTCACTGGTCCTTTCCACATTTGCTTGCCAGTTTGGATTTTCTCAGTGTTCAAGTCAAGGCAATTTTAAGTCCACAGCAAAACAGCATGCAAATAACCTGGGGCAACAGCAGAATGAAACTGGGCTGGCCACTGAAGGGAGGTAATGTAATGCAGAATGGGGGGGGGCATAATAAAAAGAAGGCTGAACTCAATTTTAGTACAGAATGGGGGGGGGGACCTGGATTAAAAAGAAGGCCGAACTCTTTAGTGCAGAATTGCTTGGAGGACACCGTGGTGAGCATGGATTAAAAGGGGAGTGCAGGAAGGGCCACTGTGTAGTAGAGGAAAGGGAAACGGGGTTGTAGTAACTACACTTGGGGGTGGTGTGCAAAATTACCATTTCCTTTTTTTCCCCCATTCCCCTGGGGGGAGGTTTTTATTGATTTTTTTACAGACTACAAAACTACAACAGAAAATATAGGGAAGGGAACTCCATCTAGGGAAAAAATAAAAAACACCCACAACTAACTAAAAACCCAAGGGTAGGAGATCAATACATCATCTTATCACCATGCTATTTTCAAAAAGCTACTAATAATACAATGAATTTAGTTCCAGCTCCTGCCAACCTAGCAGTTCGAAAGCAAGAAATTGCAAGTAGATAAATAGGTACCACTTCAGTGGGAAGGTAACAGTGTTCCGTGCGCCTTGGTGTTTAGCCATGCCAGCCACATGACCACGGAAATGTCTTCAGACAGCTGTCAGGTCCCCACAGCATCAACGAAGTACACACTTATAGAAAGGTTTTACTTTTATTGAAGCGAAAGGTGCATTGACAAGATCACTGTTAGGAATGACGTGGAATCAAACAGCATAACAGGTTATAGTGCGTTCAAACGGGTGAGGCCCAATTGCAGGAGTTCCCGTGCGCGCCATTAGGCCTGAGAAACTAATGGCACTACTAAGCATAACAGGTACTCTTCCCATGGCAACTCCGTGTGATAACCCAAGCAACTTATCCAGCGCCTCTCCTCCTGCGGCCTTGAAAGATACACTTGCTGCTGCAAAGCAATTAAGCGTAAGGAAAGGAATGCGCATGAAATCGAAAGTAGAAAACATTTGGCAGCTTGCTGACAACAGCGCTGGCTCTTCAGCTTTGAAACGGCAATGAGCACCGCAACCCTAGAGTCTGATTCGACTGGCTTTCGAGCAAGGGAACCTTTACCTTTTTACTAGATTAATTATCGTTTAACCATCCCTTTAACTGTTTAAAGAGGTTCCCAGAGCATCCCCAAGTTATTTCAAAAAATTTTCAGGCACTAATGAAAGTCCTTCAGCCCCTATTTATTCTTATCTTTTCTAATCCTCAGTTTATATGAGCTTTTGGGGGCAGCCTCCCCCTTTTCAGAGGGGGAGTCCTCGTCCGAAGACCCCGAGTCCAACTCGCTATCAGATTTGCTTTTTTCTTCCTCCCCTTTGCCCTCTTCTGGTTCCCCAAGCTGTGTCCACAGAAATTCACGTGTTTTAAAAACAGAGTCAATCTTTCTTTTTTATCGTTGAGCTTGAAAATGATGCCTTCTGGGATTAACCGCCTGTAACTGATACCATTTGTTTGTAAGAAAAGGGTTAAATCTTTATAGTTCTTTCTCTTCTGCCTTATATCAAATGGAATCTCTTTTAAAATCCTAATATTGTTGCCCCCAATTTTTAAGGGTGTTTCCGAAGTTGCTTTCAAAATAGCATCTCTCACATGCCTCTTCGAGAATCTGATCACTATTTCCCCAGGCAGATTATTTTTCTTGATGTATGATGAATAGGACCTGTAGATCACATCCGTTTTACTGCAAAGGTATTCCACTGTTGAATCTGTCATTGGGGCTATTGCTTCGCTCAACCGTTGCTTCAGATTCTCTCCTTTAATTTCTGGGACCCCTTGACCCCTTCTGGGACCAAATTTGCTTTATCCATTTGTAGCTGTAAGAGCTTTGACTCTTCCGTAGCTTGCTTCATTTCCAGCTTTTGCACCTTTTTCTTAACTTTTTTAGTAGTGACGTCCATTTCCTTCACCTTCTCTCCCATTTGCTCTGTTGCTTTTAAGGATTGAGTCAGTTGCATCTGTTGCGTTGCCACACTCTGCCCAATTACTGATAGTTGTTGTTTAATACCAGTGATCTCATCCAGCAGGGGGCGCAGGGAGTCAGCCAAGAGTTTTGAGAGCTCAGTGGCCTCATCCATTCGAGGACTGCCCCCTAGTTTCGGTTTCAACAGCTTCTCTTTCTCCGGTTTCTTCCCCGCCATCTTTTTGGATTTGTTTACTTTTCAGAAAAGTTGCTAAAGTCTCTGATATTTGCCCGAATGCTTTTCTGCACTCTGGTAAGTCTCTTAAAACAGTTTAGGCCCCGGTCACACGGGCAGGAAACTGCAGAGGAGAAGCGTGGCTGTTTGCCCTGGGGCAAACTACTGCGCAGTTACGTGATCAGACCTCCTGTGGAGGTTCTGTGGAGGTACCGTGGAGGTTCCATGGCAAGGGAGAGGTGCCGATCACAGGACAAGCCGGCGGACAACGAAGAAGCGCGCGCCGCAGCAAACTGTTTTTTATTTTTGTGTACATGACAAATGCGCATGCTCCGTTGGGTGCGCATGCGCATCCACAGAGACTTGGACAAAAAAACACACCTTATTTGCAAGGGGACATGGGCGGGCACTGGATGCCACCAGAAACGCGATCAGACGCCCGCCCTTGCCCCGCAGTTTCCGGAAACTAGTACCTCCAAGGTACTAGTTTTTTGCCACGCAGTTTCGGCTGGAAGCCTCGGTTGAGCCACGGGAGTGCTACGTTTCCCAGATGTGCTGGTGAGATCGCGCCCAGAAACTCCGGCTGTTTTCCGTTTCACTTGTGTGGCTTCTGTTACGTGTGACCGCAGCCTTCGTCACTTATTTTTCCGCTCCCCCCTCTTTCCGTCCGTGTTCTGTCTATGCGTTTGGGAGGGACCCCTCCCCCGCTCGCTTTCCCGTAGCTCTTGGGGGGGGGCAGCTTCTTTTTATATCTTCATGCTCGCTTCAACCCGACTCACAGTTCATTGTTGGCCATTCGGCCTCGCTTGTCATCATTTATTTCGCCCGATCTCCAACGCTTGTCCCGGTCAGCAGAACTCGTACCATGCGGTCACTCAGCGGCAGGACCTTCGGGGTGGAGGGGCGCCTCAATTCTCCGGCATTCAGCCATCGAAGAGGTCGCCCCTCAAAAGCCCACTGGCTGGGAGCCTTTTACCAAAGCTCCGGGGGGGGGGAATTGTGACCTGTCGGACCCCCTCCCACACACTGGTGTGCAGTTTACATCCCCGGGATGTCCAAGAGATGTGTCTGCCTGCTTGTTGCCATAAACCGGAAGCCCAAAATTACCATTTCCAACTTCACAGGTCAGGAAAAAATTATCAGGGTGTTGGAGTGCAGATGATAAGGGTGGGATCTTCACTTGAAATTGTAAAATTTGTAAGCAGTTGTAAAATTATAAGTTCATACACTCTTTCATTTTGGGGGTTCAACGACATCCTTATACAATAGACACAACATAAAATGTGTTTATATACTCATGAACTGTGGTGATATTTCTAACTTGCCTTTTCTTTTACATTCCTAGTGAATAATCTACTTAAGGAAGATACCTTTGCTCTCCAAGAGGTCATTCGGCTTCCAAGGGGGCCCATTGCAGCACTTCCTTCATGTCTCGTTTGCTGGCTCTGTGACAGAAGACTCCGGGCCTCCGCCATGGCCGTGGTTTTGCTGGGAGCAGCCTTGCTTATTGTTCAGCCTCAGGCAGTGCCTTCAAGACCAACTGTCAGCTCTAAGGGTGAAGCTACAGCAGAACCGGCTCAGAAAGAGCCCTTTAAGAAAAGCGACTTCAAAGAGACCATCTGCCCAAATGGGACATTCCAGCAACTTCCGCAAACTGTCATCATTGGAGTCCGGAAAGGTGGAACCAGAGCCCTGCTGGAGATGCTGAGCCTCCATCCAGATATAGCAGCAGCGGAAAGTGAAGTCCATTTTTTTGACTGGGAAGAGCATTTTGGAAATGGATTGCAGTGGTATGCTAACCAAATGCCGTTCTCTTATCCGCACCAGATAACGGTAGAGAAAACCCCAGCGTATTTCACCTCCCCTAAAGTGCCTGAAAGAGTTTATAGCATGAACAAGCTCATCAGATTGCTGCTTATTTTGCGGGACCCCACTGATAGAGTGTTGTCGGACTACACGCAAGTGTTCTTCAACCACATGCAAAAGCGTAAGCCATATCCCTCCATCGAAGAGTTCCTAGTTAAAGATGGAGAACTCAATGTGAACTACAAGGCAATAAACCGGAGCTTGTATTACGTTCACATGCAAAACTGGTTGAAGTATTTTCCTCTGGATCACATTCACATTGTAGACGGCGACAAGCTGATCAAAGATCCCTTCCCAGAAATAGTAAAGGTAGAAAGGTTTTTGAAGTTGATGCCTCAGATAAATGCTTCAAACTTTTACTTCAATAAAACAAAAGGTTTCTACTGCCTAAGAGACAGCGGTAGGGACCGGTGTTTACATGAGTCGAAAGGAAGAGCACACCCGAAAGTAGATTCGGTTTTACTGGAAAAACTGCACGGATATTTTCATGAACCTAATCGGAAGTTTTTTGAGCTTGTGGGCAGAACGTTTGATTGGCACTAGATGTGGTGGTCGGTTAGAGGACGTTCTGGGGAGCTCAGGGTGCTCCAGTGTGCATTTAGAAGAGAAGGGCATGTAAGCTATAATTTATTTGTAAAATCCATACATTACTTCAGTACAGTATTAGATTAATAATTTCCATATAAACTAGTAATATTTTTCTACTTGTTAAAAAAATTTTGTAATGTTTTTCATGGTTGTTAACACCGTGTATTATGTCTATATGAAGAAACAAACTATTTCGTGGAACAAAGTCTCTCGAGATTGTGGCTTTTAAGTGTATGTGTATATACAAAATACATATACAGTATTACATTATCGTAAAAAAATGCATCATCTGCTTCCCCCAAAATTCCAAGACCTTTCTGAAGCAGTATGCAGTCTTCAGTTGAGTGTGCTTATTCTAACAACACTTTTTGACTAAGGTTTTAGTTTGGAACATCACTTGACTGGTTTGATGAGATTAATTTTTTCACTGTTTTGGTACCATATTGCCACCACCACCAGAATTTTTCATAATGTGACTTTCTAGTTTAAGAGACAGCTGGCTGAATGCATTTAAACAAGGAGGGTGTGCCGATGGACCTCACTGCTGGCCAAGGCAAAAAGTTTAGGCCTTCTTTGGGAACAGGAGGGGGCTGTGGTCCCGACAAGCAGGGGAGCCACTGAGTAAGGGGCGGTCATAGTCACGGGGCATCTTGGGCTTCGGGGGAAAGAAGACCACTACCACTCACACCCACCCCTTCCCGCTCTCAGGGAGCCGGCTTGGGGGGTTACTGTGTGCTCCCATCCCTGGGACTTGTTTCACTTCGCTATGTGCACCTGCCCCTTCTAGGACTCGGACAGCACCTGGCCAGCTTGCCTGGAGTGAGGTCTGCCTGTTGCTCAAGCTTGGGGTGGCCTCTGGCAGGAGATCGGAACGTGCGGAGAAAAAACACTGTTACTAGTGCAGCTAGCTAGAATACATCATTCTGCTGTGGATGCACATGTAAATACACATGTAACCCTAACCCTGAATGTATGCACATATAACCCTTAAATACAAACAAAATTTGTGGTGGGAAGGAGCTTTCCTGAGTCACTGGCTCACTGCTTCAGATACAGCCAGAATGGCAGTCCATCTGTCCTTATCTATTGGAAAGTGGAGTGATTTCAGATGCCAACTGTTTGTACCTATGCAAATTTCTTCACAGGGTTGATGGGTTTCCATTCTGTACAGCTAAATGTGGTGCCTCCCCTGGATTTTGGATTTGGAGTCATGGACCTCAAAGTGACTTTTTGATTTCGTGTCCGTGTGTGTGTGTGTGTGTGTGTGTGAACCTCAAAAAAAGTTGTGGTGTATTACACAAATGCACATTTTGTATCTATAGCAGAACTCAGCCAAGCTTCCCTTTATGTAAAAGGAGTGATAGGATATCTGCCATCAGTCCACAGGACTGTGGACGGACCTTGGTCTGGATAACGGAGGGGTTCCATACTATGCGTTGTTTCCATCATGCCTTCGTCTGGGATGTCATCAAACAATGGCATTTTTTAAATGCATACCCTGCCTTCATCCCCTGTGGGGACCCAAAGTGGCAGACGTCATTCTCCTCTTCTCTGTTTTTATCCTCACAACAACCCTATGAAGTAGATCAGGCTGAAGAGGATGTGACTGGCCCAAGGTCGTCCAGCAGGCTTCCGTGGCAGAATGGGAATTTGAACCCGGGTCTCTTAGACCACACTAAATCACATTGGCATCATGGTGACACGTTCTCAGGGAAGAGTAACCAGAAAGCTAATAGTAGTTGAGAACTGGTCTACATCTGGGATGTCCAGCTTCTGTATGTCAGGACCCACAGTCAGTCACTTAGCACACACTTCCAAGAAGGTTTTACTTTATTGTGAGAACTATGGTAGCATAAACATATTCACTGTTTATAGTATACTAAAAAGGCCCCCCCCCAATCGATGGGCCAATTAGGTACTCTCCTGCAGGCGGGAAGAACCGTTGGTGTGTTGGCGAGGAAACGAAAGTGGTCCCACGATTGAAATATGGGAAGACACTACACAAGTGAGGGAGCTACAAGGTCAGAGATAAGGAGCAGAGGCGCCAAGGGGAATGGAATGCGGGCCTGGCTGGTACACAGGTCAAGCCAGTGAACTGGAACCCATAATCCTAATGGCAGCGTAGCTGACACTGTATTCCTGGAAGTTTCTCAGTTGTGTGGACAGTGGTCCAGGGGCCAGAAAGGCATTTCGCTACATACCTAAGTCCTCTTGTGAGGGGTCTCACTTTATAGTAAAGTTGACAGCCTCTAGCAGTGCAAGCAGGACAACTGATTTATTTGGTGTATTTATATTCTGGCTTTCAGACAAAATTGGTCCTAAAATGATTTACAACGATTAAACTGCACCACAAAAATGCCACGCGTGGTACCTGGCAGTGGATGACATAGTCCCAGGTGCCTGTTAAGTGGCCTGTCAAAGCCGTCTCTTTCATCAAGCAGAAAGGCTGTGCCAAGCCACTGCAAGCGGTCTTCAGTTAGCAGGTCTGTTGTGCCAAGTGCTTTTCGACGGCTGCTGCTAGTGCAGCCCTTGCTTCTGAGAAAGAGATTTTGGCATTAAAAGACAGGGGTGAGAACACCTAGCAAGACTGAGAGCACTCCCCCCAGGAAGACTGGGCACTGTGAAGCCCCTGACTAGCTGGTGCCATCCTCTGGTGCACATTGGAAGTGATGTCACTGCATCGCCAGTGAGGCCACTGTATTGCCACCCTAGCCCCCCTCCCCAGCTAAGTCTTCCTGCCAGCCAGCTGATTGGCACTAGAGAGCAGGGGATCCCCCACCCCTGGTGGACTCACAGAGATTAGTTCCCCTGGAGAAAATGGTTGTTTTGGAGGGTGGACTGATACCCTAAAACTCCACCCCCAAATCTCCCCAAATTTCCCAATCCCGACTTGACAACCCTAGATACCATAGATGTGTGGGCCGGATTTGGCTCATGAGCCAAAGAAGTTTCACCTTTTGGGTCATCATGTAGCAGTGAGGTCATAAAACACAGTGAAGGCAGTACATGTCAGAATATTAGCATCATTGATTGTAGGGAGTGTGACCGGCACAGGAGTCTCCCCTCCAGTTGGCAACGGGGATGGTGCTTGTGCACTTGTGTGAACATCTGGATTGCAAAGAAACTACCCTGCCACTTCTAATGATTTTTTTCTAGCACGGTAATGCACCGTATGTGCTAGTCTTATTGCTGGAGACTGACGCTGAGCATCTTTGAAGTGGCTGCAGTACTTTTGTGGGCCTGTGCACCACGGAATCTCTTGGAAACACTTCAGAAATGGGGCGTGATAAGTAGGTACTGTGCCTCAATCGACAGGAAGGCACAGTGAACAAATGAAGGAGAGAAGGTCCAGTGGGTGAAAAGTGCTTCATAATCCAGGCCTTGGCTAGGGTCACCCACGGCTCCTTGGTCAAGTGGCAGCAATCCCACCATAATTCAGCCACTCCTAATACTCCCCTTCTAAAGACCTCATTTGTAATCGATTACAGTTCCTCCTGCCCTGTTCTACTTTCTACTGACCTTTCCCAAAGTGCCAGAGAAGTCTCAGAGGAAACCTGGGGTATGTCGTTTTCCAGAGCATGAAGGACTTTTTAAACGCAGGGTTCCTGGCATCTGGGGAGTTGCCACAGCAGCAAGGGGCAGCAGAAGGCCTCACAGAAAGTCCACTAGGAATATCACCACCAGGTAAATTCTCAATGAGAGGGATCAGTAGGGCAGAGCACAGAGGATTGTGAAGGTGTGGTGGTTTGTGAGAGGTGTAGAGGAGGATTCAGATCCTAACACATGCCTGAAATTAGGAGCACAAAGGCATCAGCATTTTCTAATCGGACTCTGGAAAAAAAATCATACTAATAAATTTGGATAGCTGAGGAGTCCCATCCTAAGGCTGTGGTCACACGGTTATTTTGATCGGGTTTCATTGCTGTTCCCTCTCGCATTTGGAATTGCTGAGCAGACGCCCGCCTCCATCTCCCACACCAAAGTGGGCTCACTCGCACAATCCTCCCAGTTCCCTAGCGAGTTTTCCTACACCTGGAAAATCAAGTACTTTCTGGATATTTGTGCTTTGAACCCGCGATTTCGCCAATCTGGACAGCCATTTCTTCCAGTGATCACAGTTAGGTCATCTGAACACCCTTTAGCAATGGTTTTTGTTTTTTTACACGCTTCCATCGTTGTGTGCATGAGCAATCCTGTGCTGAATAAATTCAATGTATAAACATTCAAGCACACGTATAGACTCCAGCGCTCAGTTGTACGTTGCCGGTTAATTTTGTTTGCTGTTTGGGGAGGGGAACCTGCAAGAACAAGGGAGTATGGCGAGTCTCACTGGGAGCGGTGATTCAGCCATGTGTCTATGCGCATGCGCAAAGCCAATTTTTAAAAAAAGCCATGCCACCCAAGCGGCGGCGCAGCTATCTCAACGGTGCCCGGAGCCTTGTTGCGCAATGCAGGTGGTTCAGGGAGGGATGTGTGGTCATCCCAACCCGGAAAAAATATTCCCAAACAAATCTATAGTGGGAACAAATCAGGATAAGCTTGCCGTGTCACCACAGCCTAAGTCATCGGAGATTTCATCCATTTCTGCTCCCTACTGTCTAACAGTGTGTCCTGGTTGAAATCCAGGGAGTTTCTGGAGTTTTCAGAATGTGTTTAAGGGGTTCCTAAGGAGCTTTATGGTACTTCACGAAGTATTTCACGTTGTCCTACCGACAGTGGGCCATTCAAGGGACTCTCTGGTCGCTTTTGAACATCTGCATATGCAAGAGGAAGCCCCCCAACTCTCAGCATGATAAAACCATGGAACTCAGAAAGAGACTGTGTATGTGAAGCACTAAAGCCATTGCAAATAGAAGCCAATCCCAAGATCGGCACAAAATAAGCAGCCAGTACCCAACAACAATGGTGTGGGCAAAAACTGTTTTCCACCAGGCAAGCAGGACCTCTGGTGGCAGGGGCCAGGTTTACCCCACACTCCACTTGATAATGTTGCCTGCATCCTTTTAGTTTATCCAGTTTAAGTGACGAGCTGCCACTGACTCTTTTGGAGGATAGACGATATTTTACTCCTCCATCCTACGTGCCTCCACCGAAGTACACAAATCTCCCCTCCCCCCCAATCTGGAACATTTTGTTCATTGTCTTCTCGTGCTATGCATTCATCTTTTTTTAAAAAGCCAGAATGCAGAT